AAAATCCCCGAAAAAATGCTAAGTTCCCGTTATGAAACTATTCCGTCAGAGTTTGTAACCATTAAATTATCATGTAATCATCTGAGATAGTTGATCTAACGATTACAAATCCCGACGAAATGATTTCGTAACGGGACTGTATCATCTCCCAAATCCCAATACTTCATAGTTTTAAATTATTGTACACTGGCAACATTTTTTTCTTTTTTAATTTAATTTTCAAAGTCATGTCACTCCAACCAACACATCCTAGAGTAGTAGTTGCTTGCAATAAATTCTTTACATCAAATTATTTAGTCATTTCTGCCTATTTTTATCTTTTGATTTTTTGTGGAAGACAAATTCTGAGTCGAAAAATAAATAAATAAAAAAGTACAGCGCAGTTGAAATGAATTAAATGGCATTGAAGTGAATGGAACAACAATACAGAAAGGTTGTTGGGCCACTTGGCTCGAGTAAAAGCCCGAAGCCCATTTCATGGACTAGTGGCTACTGGACATAAATATATCAACCAATGTGTATTGTCATGTCCATTGAAAATCTGACAATTCATACACTTTATTTTCCTTTTTCTCTCTTGTAATTCACTCATAAATATTAGGCTATGTTAGGTTTCAAAGGTAAATTCATGCTTATCCATGAGGAAATATCCCAATCTGAGTTTTTAGTCCTTGATTTCACACGAACGTACTCATATAGTTGTGTATGTGTGTGAATCGAGGATTAAAATCTCATGGGGCAGTGCCAATGCGAACTTACCAACTTCTAACGTGTTGTGCCCAGTTAAATGCACATCGATGCACTTTTCGTATGGAGTGATTTGAATTTTTAGGGTTTTTATTGAGATCGAACTGTTTGTGGATACAACTTAGCCTGATTCGTACATATCCAAAATTAACTTAATCATTTATTTAAATGAGCCGAGCTCGAACAACTAACGTGACTCGTTTATTGAACTTCTTGAATCAAGCTTCCTCTCGAACAACTAAACAAATCAGTGAGCCGCACTAGTTCATAAGTAATTCGTTTTGGTTTATTAAAAGAGTCGAGTCAAGCCGAACCGGGTTGAACTTTCACGAGCTTAAATGGCTCGTGTCGAGTCTTTGACACCTTTACTAAACGAGAACGAGATCTAACATGAACTTCCCTATTCGACTCGATAGAGTGATTGGTTGGAATTTTATGCTTTATTATATTATCAAGTAGATATATAGAGTTAATAGAATCATCAACTTGACGACCCTCCCACGCAGGTGAAACCGTGACTTGAACATGATGTTTTAGGGATCGCTTACCCTCGTAATATCGTCGTCTAAGGCACTCGTCTCCTTCATTGTACCCAGAAAAAAAAAATAGAATCATCAACAATTCATTAACTAACATGACTTGTTTAGAGACTTTAAGTATATATGGGAGTCGAGGCCCCAGTGAGCCAATTTTAAAGTTGATATTCATAACTGGGCTCA